TGGTAAAATGATCGGTATTTTTACCCACTACATATAAGACAACAAGTTTGGAGTAATCCTTTCAAAAGTAGAACCTGATCTATTTAAGAGATAGCTTCGCTAACAAATGAATGATCGATACCTCCACTTCGAACAACGATATTTGTATACTGCTTGTATATCTCCTGGTTTAGACAATGAGGACACCAAAAAATCGAACCCGTTACATCTAAAGGAGAATGAGAACAACAAAAGATAATAATAAAAGCTTTACTTTCTTTTCGCTTATTTTATATATAAATGAACAGTCACTTTTCATAACGGAGGTTGCGGTGCCCGAGGAAATCTTTCTATCTATCTATCTATCTATCTATCTATCTATCTATCTATCTATCTATCTACACATGTCTATCTATTTATTCATATCTTCCTCATTGTATGGCGGATTGATTTAAACAGAACAATCACCCACAGCCTCACGTGAAGAAAATGCCATTTACTTTTTTTGACAATGAATGTATCATACATCTGCACACAGCCCAAAAAGTGACCCATTCAAGACAATAGATGGAAATGCTGTCTTAAAATCCTGCTCTCTGTCTGACTGATCTAGTAGGATAAATTCTTTGTTCTTTCTCTATTGGTCATTTCACCCTTTCTTCCCTTTGTATATTTACATGTGCGTTAGTGCGCAAGTACGCTCGTGCGTGCGTGCATGCGTGTGTTGCAGAAAAAGATAAACAGAACATTGTCGTGAGTCATTAACGCAGATATCGTCGTCGCGCCCTCATGTAGCAATACGTATGCAGACACAGATTGATCAGTAAGTGAAGCAACTGATCACCTAAATCGAGACATTGTTGGTGCAACGGTTCCATTATTTGGTCACACGCAAGCCCAATCAATCCCGACAACTGGTTTTTTATTACTGCTGTCTTGGGAGAACAGGAATGGACACATGCAGACCTAGAGGAACCTTCGCTTTTGAGTTAATATCGCAGAAGCACAAGAATAACAATAATGGTTGACCTTATTTTGACCATATGTCTTTGAGTTCTTGCAATCAGTTGTCATTTCGCGTTACATATCAATATGTAAATACAGAGAACAGGTGCACTTGAACTTCCTGCCAAGGGATTACTATTACATGAGTTTCACAACGACTGATTTGTTCGCACGAAATTGGACCAAGTGGTTGTCGACGTAACTTCTGATTGTATTAAGTTGTTCCAACCTATTGCGGTTCAAAGTTTGCCGGGAGCGCTTAATGCCAACTCTCGATTATAGAATAAGAGCATATGGCCAAAATCCCCCTCTTATCAGTGGTGAATTACCATAGTACGTTCGCCCGCATGTCTTTTCTGAGGCTCCACAACAACAAAACAGGTCAAATACAAGAGATCAAGGCCAGTTGAAGTCACACCATTGTTTGTAAACCGAAGTAAAAACCGTGCATCCGATAGAGAGACACTTGCGATAAAATGTAATCTACTCTGTTGGATTCAGATGTAAATCAGACCTATTTTGCACCATTCTCATCAGGCTGTTGGATCCATTATCAACTGCATGCATCAAACATGATCACTCGCCCCGCCCCCAGGTGTAGCCTCTGCTCATTTCAATGAAACTGCTCTCACTCGGTATTATCAAATGAGCGAACCTACTACAACAATTCGTTTTAACTGCCGTATTTGTCACATTTCACATGTTGCCTGTTTGGTATGACGTAATGGCAAACAAAAGGCGATGACAACTCTGGAAATTGTTGATCGAAATGGAATCTGTTGTAGATTAGACACCAAGGTTTTCTAAATCCGGATTAAAGGAAAGGGATTTTTTGATATAAATTTGGCCTTTTTTCAAATTACTTTGTTCAGTAATAATGTACCTCTGTCTAAAGGGGGGAGGGAGAAGGCCTCTGATTAATAGCGTCTTGATTTGGTGGACAAGTTCCAACAGCGTGGATAGAAAAATTTCGTTAGTAGTTTATTTGTACGCGTGGTGCGTTTCAGGTAAATTTAAATTGCTGCTTGATATCACCTCGACTAAAAGCGTCATATACAAGCATTTTACGGTATCTGGTTAGTTGGCTATCGGTGGAAATCCAGTATGAAAAAAACATTAGTCGGTGGGGCTTGAGTGGTACATTTGTTCGTTGAGTGAACAGTTGTTTTCACCCCTCGATCGGAAAGATTTTTCAGCCGATGTAGCTGTCAAAAATCCTGAACCATCATGGATCTCCAGCTCATTCATGATCGGACATAACACGTGTGTGTGTGTGTGTGTGTGTGTGTGTGTGTGTGTGTTGTATCGCATGTGATCCGTGCACAGGGCTGGAAATCGGGTCGTGAAGCGATCTGTGCATGAGTGCACCAACTGCTCTATATTACGACATCCGGTTTCCCGGGTGATTCCTAACAGTGATAGGGAAATCACATGCCACCGAGTAAGCAATGCGATTGATCATGTGTAAAATGTTCGAAATAAAACTCCACCTGTGACCTTAAAACAGGTGAAACATTTGGAGGAAAAGTGAACTTTACTGGTTTTTGTTTTCAGTCGAATGACCTCAATTGAATGACGTCAATTAGGAAAAAACGCCTAACGAACGTATTCTCTGCTACCCTAGATGCTGAAGTCCGCAGCCCAATAGACGTATTCAACAACGCGACAGAGGGGATTACGGCATATTGAGCATAGTGCACTCAGAGATTAGTGAGTGTTGGAGAATAAACTTTGTAAAACTCTCTATTGCTTTTATTCTCTGTTTCGAAAGAGCGACGGGTATTCGATATACCTCCGTTTTTGTGACGGTTTTGCAAAAACAAAGTAAAATCATGCAATTTAGTATGCTTGTGTGCAGACAATTCCTTGTAATTGGGGTCGTATATGTACTATTGAACTATAACTTGACAAAGGCGATCCCGAGTAATGCATCCAAAATATTTGGGCGGACCGAGTGGTTAAACCGGTCAGCTGGTGATCAAATCCTATGATCTTTACTGGTCCGAAAGGAAAAGTGTCCTGCAGATGTATCTTTCAGGCCACGTTTTGGCTAGTCTAAGGTTCAAAATTATATCATACAAGGGTGACACTAGAGATCTGATACTAAAAGCGTTATTTGTATAGCCCATAGTTAAATAAGCATTAGCAATCATTTTGGGTAGAATTCAAGCAAAGGATTATGAGCTATCTTGACATAATCAATGATGTAGTCCCTTGTGATACAAATCCACACTCTACTGAGTTGAGCTACGTGCGAGACACGGATAGTTTTAAAATTTCCACGGATCCGGTACAGTTGTTGGTAGAAACAGGTCGTACAAAGCTTGATACATCAGTTGGCTGTCTGCTTTCTTTAAGAAATCACCGGCAACGATTTGCCGTTTACCTTCCCGGTTACGTAAACTGAAAGCCCAGCGGCTAAAGTCCAACGTGGTAATCCACACATTGTAATTAGCCCATTACTCCGGACACGATCCGCTGGTGTGAATCGTTCCACCTAAGGTAAAAGTACGTGGCATCCTTTGCCTACTACACTCCGGAGAATGCCAACTTTGATGCGTCAAATTCCAAATGCACGTTTAAAACTAAATAGAAACAAAATATCAAAGTTCAAATTAATACAGGAAT